CCGTTCAACAGCAGCCTCTGGCCCGGGCGCCTCTTAGAGTTTTGCTGCTCCTGTTCACGGAGGCTGGAAGGTGTTTTTCACGCACATAATCCAGACTGCGGGTACCAGAATAATAGAATCAAACATATTTTGCCGGCAGGTTTCGACATTTTAAGTTAATTTAGGCGTTAATAAACGTTTCATTGATGTCACTCTTAAATTGTGCAGAGAAAGGTATTCTTGTTTGCTTGTTGTATTTATTAATTAGATCATTACAAAAATGATTTTTACATTTGCTTAATAGTTTATTGTATTTGATGATCTGTAACTTTTGACTGAGACAAAACAGAAGAAATTGGTTAAGTACTTAGTTATTTAGAATAGAAAATAAGAGCCTTATTTTTACTTCAAGGGGCTGTAGAAGCTCTCATTTGAAGTTAATTGAGAAGAACTGATTTTTCTACCAAATATTCTTAAACAAATATTGTGCTGGTGTTCTGTCAGATGACCATACCCCGTCAGACCAGCATACCCATAGCTAATACGCATGCGCAAGACATCAGATTCGCTTTAATCCCTTTTGTTAAGGGAGGTTGTTTAAACTACCTCAACGGGCGTGTATCCTTTTAGCTGTGTACAAAAAAACAAAACGCTTCAACAAACACCAAAAAGTAAGTAATTAAATCGTTTTTTTGTACATGACTAATGGGATACACGCCCGTTGAGGCAGGTTAAAGTCTATTTTTCGTACAAAACTAAAGGTATGGACTATGGGTATGCTGGTCTGACAGAACACCGGTTCATGGTGACATTGTGTTGTTTCAGATGGGCCAGTTCTACTATGCCGCCAAAGCATTTGATGCACTGGAGAAGCTGGACCCAGGCTCCTGTTACTGGGAGGGTAAAAGAGGCGCTTGTGTCGGTGTGTTTCAGCTCATCGTGGCAAACAAGGAGCCCAGGTACGCTTTTTCCCTTCCTCCTCTGCAGTGATTTAGAGCACGACTTTAGCATCTTCTATTTTCTTGCCGGTGTGGGCGTGATGTCATCTGAAACAAACGATGCATTTTTGATGTAATCTTGTTTCCTTACATATCCTGTTTTGTTCTCCAGGGAGAAGCTTAAAGAAGTTTTGGCCCTCCTTCGAAATTCAGGAAACCCTCAGGCTGAATACATTATCCGAGTCCTGAGAAAGTGGGCCAAAGACAACAGAGTGCTCCTCTCGTGAGACGGAGAGGCGGCTAAGTGTGTCACAGGAATGGATCTACCCCACAACAAATTAAACTGTCATGTCCTAACATTTACAATAAAAATATGCCTATTTTTAAATGCATTTTCTTGTCTGCAGTTTTTCTGCCCAGGTCTTCAGAGGTGGGTGACACTAGCAGTGGTTAAAGTATTGCGGCCCCAGGCCGGATTTCCAGCTCGTAGCAATTGCCCATGGGTAAAAAAAATAAATAAAAATAAAACAATAAATTGATGGTAAATAATTTAAAAAGGAAAATCGAAATCCTTCTTGCGTTTGTCAGCCAATGGTAGCAAAGGAGTAGCCT